CCCTCTGCCCCGGAGTGTGGTGGAGGCCCCTTCTTTGGAGGCTTTTAAACAGAGGCTGGATGGCCATTTGTCAGTGGTACTTCGAATGCAATTTTCCTGCTTCTTGGCAGAATGGGTTGGACTGGATGGCCCAACTCTATGATTCTATGTTTTAAAATCGGTTTTATTGTGATCAGCTTTGAGTCTTTTTCTTAGATAATAATAATAATAATACCTTGATTTCACCATTTTATATATGGGGCCCCATTTTACTACATCACTGTGTATAATGGAATTTTATTATTCACAGACTTTGGGATACTAGATCCAAAACCAAGTGGATAAATGAGTTTATGTACAGTAAAAGTAGACGAGACTAAAATTTTATTGTTGCCTGTTTGTGTATGTGATTCTGAGTGAGTCAATACACATACACACACAAAGGAAATATTAGTTTCTATTGCGATGGTCCACTGTGGCCCCTTCCACACTATACAGTAATGGCACCATGATTCTGGTTTAATTGCAATGGCAACAGCCTATGGAATCCTGGTGTTTGTAGTTTGGTGAGGCAAGTAAAGCTCTCTTGTTCTTTTGGGGTAAACCTTGATCCGTTTCATGTCCCAGCTTTTGGTGGGGCCCCAATCCATTTTTTGAGCCTCTTGAAATCAGGAGGGCAGATATCTGTTTTTGCTCTTGAGTGCCAAAAGATCCCTTTTCTGTGGGCATGGATCAGCTCCCCACTTGCTTTGTTCTCGAGCTGATTTTCATACCAGGAGGGGCTTTCCCGCTACGTGCTCCCGAAGGTAACAAAAGTAACAAAAGAACGGATAAAACGAAGGGAAACAGTTCCAGGCACACCTCTACTTTCCAGCAGAGAAATCTAAATATGAGGGCTGGGCGGTTTCGTTTCGTTAATTCGTAATTCGTTAAAAATTCGTTATTTTTTTTATAACGAAGCGATAATGAACCATTCTGGAGCAACTTAAAAACGAAATGAATTTTTAAATTCATTCCGTAAATGCTTCGGATTCGTTATGTATTTGTTTCGTTATCAGTTTGAGGTCGTTTCGTTATTATTTCTGCATGTCTGGGGCAAGTTTTATAGTTGTTTTTTGTTTAATTAGTGAAAAAAAATTATAATATCACACCAACAGTCAACAAGTAGAGGGAGAGGGAAGCTTCAGAAGTTCCCCCTGTCCCATTTGGAGGTTTTTTAGCGTATTGCGCGGTCGCGTCCGCCATTAACGAATTGATTCGTTATTGTTTCGTAATTGTTTCGTTAATGTTTCGTAATTTTTTTTACATTTACGAAATTTCGTAAATATCGAACTTTTTAAAAGAAAAATTTCAGAATTCTTTTAAATATCGAAACGCAAAACCCCCCAAAAAACGAATCGATTTTAGAAACAAATTTTTCCATTGTTACCCAGGCCTACTAAATATCCCTTCCTAAATGACAAATTCCTAGATCGCATAAGATGGATCCATGTCATTTAATCCGGCATAATTATGCTACAACTGTGTAGTGTCGGGATAAACAGCAGTCCCAACAAGGACTGAAATACTTTCAAAGGAATTAACAAAGGATAAATGTTACAATATTTCTGTGAGTGGAAACTAGTAAGGAAAAATGTTACGTACTCATCTTGTCAATATACTTAAAATATGAAGAAAAGGTGAAATCTCTGCTGGCGTCTGGGATCACTTAAGCCTTTTAAAGGAATGGAAGATGCAGATCAGAAAAGGTTTAGAGATGCTATCAATCAAGTTTATAATACATGTGAAGCAGTATAAATTAAATCAAAAGGCTTAATTGAACACATTGGGTTTCATTCTTCCAGTATATGTAATGTCCCTACATATTTTTTAAATGAGGTTAATAAAAACTTGTCTAGGACTGAGTTGGGGGCTGCCAAGGTTTTGATTACGGAATTGGGCAAAACTGTTTTGCTGGCTAGGAATAGAAAATTAAACCAAGAGACAGATTTAGAGACGACAATAACTACAGACAATTAGGCAGGTATGTCCTCAATAAATGCTAAAGTATTTTTCTCAGGGATGTCAAATTCATATTTTGAGCAGGTGGCATGTAACATCTGTAGTGATTCAATGCAGTTGTGGAAAAATAATGGGAAATCTTGGGAAAGGATGTGGGGCAAGAGAGACCCCTTTAAGCATATTTGGTGGTCCTGTTAATATATTGGAGAATATTGGAAAAAAGATCAGAGTGTATTGAAAAGATCTAAGGCCACGTTATTCCCACATGCCCTGAATTAATCTTGATGAATAGGGCTTATAAAGATGTGGAATGCTATGCCTTCCAATATATTTTCATTAATTTGCTTTCATTAATTTGTAGTATTATACAATTGGCATGGAGCTCTTGAGACATTACGATCAAACAGTCGCTAGTGGATTTTATGCAGGCAACTCTTCAGAGGAAAAGGGCAATTTTTAAAGAACTGGGCTCTCGTTTTAGCTAAGTAATTTTGACGTTGATGAATATTAATGGCTTAGATCAGGGGTCGGGAACCTTTTTGACTCAGAGAGCCATGAAAGCAAAATATTTGGAAATTTATTTCAGTGAGAGCCATATAATATATGTAGTCAGGGCGAGAAGGGAGGCGGAAACGGCCTCGGTGCGGTGCAGTTCCCCCGGCGGCCCGAGAGGGGGCGTGGCGCGCTCCGCCCCTTTCCCTCCCTCGGCCAGAGCTTCGCTTCTCGGGCGCCGTAGCTGAAGAAAGGCCCCTCTCGCTCTCCCCTCTTCCCCGCTTTCCCTGCTCCGGGCCCGGCGAGGCCGCTACGCGAGGCCGGGGATCGGCGGAGGCGACTAGGCCGCAACGGGTCAAGGTGGGCTTTCGGTGGGGAAAAGATTCCCCGTTGCTTCCCTTCTCCCTTCCTTCCCTCCTCCCTTCCTTCGGGGCCTAATCAGCCAAAAGCGGGCTCAGTTCCTTTCCAAGGGAATACACGGGCGAGCCAGATGCACTCATCAAAAGAGCCACACCTGGCTCGCGAGCCATAGGTTCCCGACCCCTGGCTTAGATGTTCAGATACAGCCTCCATAACGTAGCACTAAGTTATATTTCAAAAATGGTGTATTGAAAATGTAGGAAGATAGGAAGTGCCTGAAAACTGACCAAAATGACCACAAAATAGCAACATGCAGGGTAGTTTACATCTCCCACTTTTCAGAGCTGCCCAAAAGCACAAGAAAGCAAAATAAATCAGATGTCCTTTGACCAAAACCTTGGCCAGAAGTGATACGATATCACTTTTGGCATGTGTTGTCAAAGACTTTCATGACCAGTATCACTGGATTGATGTGAGTTTTCCGGGCTGTATGGCCATGTTCCAGAAGCTTTTGGCATGCTTTGGACAGACTATGCGCCCCATGGGGCTGCGTCATAAAACATTTTTTGCAGACTTCAGATAATGATCAAGGAGCTCAGTGTCAAATAAAGCTAAATAGACTTTGAAGTGCCACAAGACTTAAAGCAGCCAGGTGAAATAAAGGGCAGAGCTCCTCTGGATGTGGGTGAACTGCAACTCCCATCATTCCAGGTCAATCCTCCACCAAACCCCAGCAGTACTCAAAGTTGGTCATGATGGATATGCGTGCTAAGTCTGGTCTATAAGATTCATCTTCAGTGGGATTTGCAATGGGCTCTGGATGTGGGTGAACTACAAATCCCATCAGCCTAGGTCATCCTGCCTCCCTCCCCAAGCCCCAACAGCATTAAGCTTGAGACACAGACTCCCCTCCCAATTACCCAACAGAAAATACTGGCAGGGTTTAAAAGGGGATTGAACTTGGATTTTGGGAGTTATAGTGCACCCCGCATCCAGACAGCCCCTCTGATTCCTGACAATAATGGATCTTGACTAAACTTGGGACACATACCGAATGTGGCCAACTTTAAGTACTGGTGGGGTGGGGTGGGGTGGGTGGGGGGAGAATTGACCTTGGATGGTGAAAGTTATAGTTCACCCACACCCAGAGAGCACTGTGAACCCAACTGATGGTGGATTCAGATCAAACTTGGCACACAGACCCAACATGACCAACTATGAATACTGGCAAGGCTTAGGGGGAATTGGCCCGCAATGCTGGGAGCTGCAGTTCACCCGCAATCAAAGAGCACTACAAACCCAACTGAAGATGGATCTGGACCACACTTGGTACACAGATCCAACATGATCAACTATGAATACTGGTGGGGTTTGGGGAGGGGATCGACCAACAATGTTGAGTGTTTTCTAATGGGACCATTAATAGAAACAATTACTCTTTCTTAGAAATAGCATTATAAAATACCTAACTTGAGCATTGCTGGGCACCTAAGCTAGTAGATATATAAAATCAAGTATTGACTGATAACAAACCTGCATTTGCAAGGCTTGAAAAACAGGCTGATTTCCCCTTTCATGAAGTACAGCTTTTCTCCACTGTAAACACTGCATGATGCTGGTCAGATTCGTGTCAATATATAAGCAAAGTTGAGAAAACTTTTGCTATGCCTGTTAAAAATTTCTTCTATCTACACAACTATGGAACTATGAAGGAAGAAAGGGGAGAAAGAGGAAAGAAAAGGGGAGGAAGGGAAGAGGAAGAGAAGGAAGGAAGGAAGGAAGGAAGGAAGGAAGGAAGGAAGGAAGGAAGGAAGGAAGGAAGGAGAGATGGAAAGAAGGAATTGTGGGAGTTGAAGTCCAAAACACCTGGCGGGCCCAACTTTGCCCATGCCTGCCTAAGTGACTGGGATGCACATTTTGTATAAAATCTTGAGCCCTAACATTTTAAATCTAAAGCAAACTTTCAGCAAACTCTAGCTCCCTAGGCTCCATAGCTTTGCTTATTATGAAGTCGAGCTGCATCCATTCCATCCTCCCAAGGTGTGTCTTGCTTTGTGCTTGTTCTGAGCCAGGGAGAGCCTTCCCTTCCAGCCTCCCGCGTTGTTTATGTTTACGGTCAAGGTCTCCATGGCAACCAACCCGCGCCTGCGCCCCAGGCATTTCTAAGCGGCTGGAAGAAGGGCTTGGTGAGGGTCTCCCTCCTTCCCCTCCTCTCTCTCTCAGGTGGGGCTCTTCCCTTTCTGCCCAGAACAAAACAGCTCAACGCTTAGCCCGCCTAAGTAAGTGACTGCAGAGGCTGGAAAAGTTACTTTTGGGGGGGAGGGAGGTTGGAGATGATGACCATTCCCCTACTCTCCCAGCCAAGTGCTTTTGGGATTCTGAGATGGGAGTCTTTACAACAGGCATGGGCAAACTTGGCCCCTCCAGGTGTTTTGGGCTTCAAGTCCCACCATTCCCAATAGCCCTCCAACCCTGGATGGTGGGAGTTGAAGCCCAAAATACCTGGAGGGCCCAAGTTTGCCCTTGGCTGCTTTGCAGAGTACTGAACCACAAAGGCTTCTCCATCATTGTCATCATGATCCAACTTTAAAACTTCAGGTTTTTTGGGGAGTAGGGGGAGACTAATAAGGGATGATGGGAGTTAGAGTCTATCCCTATTCGGAAAGCCAAATGAATCATTCCTGGACCAAACAATGTGCCTCCATAGAGATGTTCAATGTATTGTCGAAAGATTTCATGGCCGGAATCACTGGGTTGTTGTAGGTTTTTCGAGCTGTATGGCCATGTTCTAGAAGCATTCTCTCCTGGCGTTTTGCCTGCATCTGTGGCAAGCATCCTGAGGGTCTGAGGTTTGTTGTAAACTAGGATATATAAATCCAATTTTCCTAGTTTCCACAGATATATAAACCGAATTTTCCTAGTTTCCAACAAACCTCACAACCTCTGAGGATGCTTGCCACAGATGCAGGCAAAACACCAGGAGAGAATGCTTCTAGAACATGGCCATGCAGCCTGAAAAACCTAACAACAACCCGATGTGCCTCTACTTTATGATCCAACAAATACTGGCAGGGTTTCAGGTGGAGCCTGGAAGTGGATGATGGGTATTGGAGTCCAGCCACATCTGAGAACCTCTGTTACTTCCAGTTCCAACTCAGACACATCTGGGGCTGATGACATTTCCAGCTGCCCAGATCTAGGGATGTTGGGAGTTATCGCCTGACCATTAGCCAGGGCTAATCAAAATCCCGACCCGTCACTTCTATGATGTTGTAAAAGACTCCATTTCAGGCAGTCCCCAAGTTACAAACAAGATAGGTTCTGTAGGTTTGTTCTTAAGTTGATTTTGTATGTAAGTCAGAACACGTACATTTTGAAGCATTGCTCCAGCTAAATATATATAGATAAGCTTTATATGCAAGCTTTTAAAAAGGGAGCTCCTGGCGGTGCAGCAGGTTAAACACTGAGCTGCTGCACTTGCTGATCGAAAGGTTGGCAATTAAAATCTGGGGAACGGGGTGAGCTCCCACTGTTAGCCCCAGCTTCTGCCAACCTAGCAGTTCAAAAACATGCAAATGTTAGTAGGTAGATCAATACATACCGCTCTGGTGGGAAGGTAACAGCGCGCAATGCAGTCATGCTGGCCACATGACCTTGGAGACATCTACGGACAATGCCGGCTCTTTGGCTTAGAAATGGAGATGAGCACCAACTCCCAGAGTTGGACACAACTAGACTTAATGTCAGTGAAAAACCTTTACCTACTACATAAGCTTTGGATAGTATAAGTGTTTGTTTTGCTGCCAATGCCCCTGTTGAGAAGATTTCCTCATATTTTCTGTTCCTGTGAGAATTGGATTTTGAAAAATCTGGCTTGTTGTGGAACAAAGGATTAGTGATAAAGCTTCAACGGAGACCCCTTTTCCCCACCATAACTCTTTGAGGAGTGAATTTCCCTTCCAAGGAGTAGGTTTTTCTCACTTCCAGTTGTCTCACTCCCGTTCTTAGTTATGAGTCGTTTGTAACTCAGATGTTTGTGTTTGTAACTTAGGGACTGTCTGTATATAGATATGCATTTTCTGATGGAACCGTTCATAAAACCGTAAAGCTATCAAAGAGTTCATTCTAATAAACAGCATTACAAAATGCAAACCCAGATGCAAGTTATTACAACAGTTACAACTGGTGCTACTGCTACTATTACTACAGTATTAATGTAAAATATTATACATTAAAATGATATATTATATTTGTGCTTTTAATGTATGGCATTCTAATTGGTTAGATTCCTTGTTCTTATTGAGTTATTTGATTTTATGTTTTACTTTGATTGTTGTTTACATGGTCTTTGGCACTAAATGTTTGCCATTTTTTTATTTCTGTAAACTACCCTGAGTCCCTTCGTGGAGAGAGGGTGGGTTATAAATAAAGTTTTGCTTTGGTTATTATTATTATTATTATTATTATTATTATTATTATTATTATTACAGATTGTGCATCCCTTCCCTGGAAAGATCAACTTCACCAAGGGCAGAAATCCCCCCAATGTATTATTTTCTCTGTCAAAGTCCAGCATCCCTTCATTTCATTATAAGCAAATGTCTGGTGGTCAGGCAGACTGGTTTGAGCCCAGTTGGCAAGTTCAGTACGTTCGTTTCCTATTTTGTGTATTGTTTTACTTTAAAAAACATCCTTGCCTCTCCGTTGTGCAACATTCCAAATAGATTAACAATGCTACAAAATAAACACCCCAATAAAACAACCCAACAATAAAATAAACATGTTGTAAGCGCATTGTGGCCCCCAGGTCACTCAGTGGGTTAAACCCTTTAGCTGCTGAACTTGCTGACCAAAAGGTTGGCGGTTTGAATCTGGGGAGCGGGGTGAGCTCACGCTTTCAGGCCCAACTTCTGCCAACCTAGCAGTTTGAAAACATGCAAATGTGAGTAGATCAATAGGTACCGCTTCAGCAGGACGGTAATGGCACTCCATGCAGTCATTCCGGTCACATGACCTAGGAGGTGTCTACGGACAATGCTGGCTCTTTGGCTTAGAAATGGAGATGAGCACCACCCCCTAGAGTCAGACATGACTAGACCTAATGTCAATATTTACCTTTAAGAGAACTTTAGAAGGAAAAACATCAAATGTTAATAAACACCAGAGCCTTGGTAGTATCTGATACATTGCAAAAGGGAGATCAGGTGCCACTGTAGAGAAGGTCCACTCACACGTTCATAAGAAGTATACATCATGTACTTTATGTTTTATATTACCTCTTGTGAGATATTTCACATAATATTAATACAACAAATGGCTGTAGATTTGTGACCTATAGTCATGTAACATACTTTGCTTTGGGTAGTGATTTTTGTTGTTGTTTTTCTCCCCTCAATTGCTCAGGACTACAACCCTCGGATGAGGCCTTACCATGGGAGTAGCACTGACAAGAGCAGCTCAGTGGACTGCTGCTGGTTCTGGAACCGGAAGACTTGAAATCACACCGCTGAACGAATCTCTCTTGAATGAAATCATAAAGTTTACAGAAAGCTTTAGCAGCAAACATCCCCAAGAAGCTGCCTTTGTCTTTAAGGAGCCACTTCAATGGCAGACAAAGCTAGAGCTGTCAGCATTTGAGTCTGGCTATGAAGTCAGGTAAGATTGAGGTAGAATAAGCATTTCTAAAACCAAGATTAATGAAACATGAAGTCTGCCCATTCTGATGTTTGCTCATGGTTACTCTTAAATTCCAAATTGCATGCCTTCTTCATTTTCTCAGATAAGTAAATAAATCCCATTCACTCCCATGAGAAAAAGAACAATTCTGTTTTACTCCTGAGAAGCTACCAAGATGAGAACTGACTCCTTTTACTGGTTGACTTGCTCTCCACATACCTTCTGCTGCCTCTTTCCCCCATCTTAACATTGGGTTTTTCTTTTTCTAAATGCTACATTATTTTTGCATCAAGATTCTAGCTTTGCTTCCAAGATTGTGTTCTTATAGATGGGATGATGATGAGAACATGCTATTTAATTTCAAGCCCTCACCCCACCTGCCTAGGTTTGTGTGAAAATCTTAATCCTTTTGCTGCCCCTTTTTCTATTATTCAAATATATCGCAATTTTAGATCTCCTGGCAAAAATTTTGAATTCTGTGCTTTATTAGGGATGACTTTCAACAGTATTTTCATAGCTGTAGCCTATTCAGAAATTTTCCAGTTATTATGAATTCTTGCCTATTAAGGTCTTGTTTTCTTCTTCCAGTGAAAAAATGGTTCAGTCTCAAGAAAGAGACAAAGATGGGCAGCCCCTGCTCCTGGTTAAAGGATCAACTATCAGCGTCCGCACATTTGGGCAGCTCTCTCGTTTACTGCGTGTGGCCGCAGAGAAGAAGCTAAAAGAAGCACAGGCCTGCCTTGAAGGTATTCTAGCCTTTCTTTGTCTACATACCCGACATGGGTGCAGTATTTGTTTCATTCATTTCATTCAGGTATTCATTTCGTACCGTCCATTCAGAAAGCATGATACGAAAATACCATTTCAGGATTAAACAAAAGGTGACACGAAAGAGAAAGCTGCACGGTCCCTGTTGCTTGCTTTCATTTTCAGGCTGCATGGCTTTCCAGGGGAAGTTCTTCCGCATGTGTCAAAAAAGGAGATGTTGGAGCTCAGCCTGTGATTGTGTTTCAGGATCACAGTGCTTTGGATGTGGGGAGTGATGTAAATGAGTTTCAAGATGGCAATGGTTTGGTCAAGAATATTAATGTACAGAATGACCAGGAGATCCCTGTTCAAAGTGTAGTTTCCCATGAGAATGTCCCTGAAGGGTGTGCGAATGATGGTGTACTCCCTGAATTGTTACCAGAGAGTTCCCAGGATTTGGGGCTTGAAAACAACTATGCGCCTGCAGAATTTAATGAGCAAATAGATAGAGGGCAGGAGATTAGTCAAAACAGATAAGCCAAACAGTGCCTTCGGCGGTCTGCCAGAATCCGATAGAAAAAGAGAAGGGAATCTCAATTAAAGCGAAACCAATTTCTGAGTGCTTGGTTCCCAAGTATGGGAAATATAGTCAGATGAAGCATCATTTGAAATCAAGTGTAGTTCTTGCCCTTGTTTCATGAAAGCCTTGCTGGGAAGATTCTTGTTTAAGTCTTTCTTGTTTCATGGTTAGGGTTCTTGGATTGTGTGAATGCCTAGTCATGCCCTGGATCAATATTTCCTGATTTTCTGAATTATATTAGAGAAGTGTGGACTTTGTTTTTATGGACTTTGCTGAACTTTACGTTGGACTATTTTTGCTCCTGCTTATCTTCTTACCTAATTGGATTTACCTATTTTTAAAGTGTTTTTTACTTGCTGCTTTTAAATTACCTTCAATAAAAGGATTGTTTTCCAATCAACGGTGTGGTGTTTACAGTCAGAGGGCTTTTCCTGTCCTGGAGTGCAACAGAGGAACTGTTCGGGCCAATCAGGGCCCAAAAAGATGGTGACGTGGACAGGGTACATACCATTGATCCTCTGAATTGTACTGGAAGACAGATTCCTAACCTCACACACCATGCCATGCAAGGGAATCTTGGAGCTTCTTGGAAACTTACTTAGAGAAAGAAGATTTATGGCTTAAGCTTTCATAGACTGCATCTGCTTCATCAAGTGCAGCTCCAGGCTATGTTTTCTCATGCTCGTGCATTAACACTCACCTTAGAGGTAGATTTTAGTTCTGCGACCCCTGGTTTTTCGTATAGCAAGAACTCATGTAATGTGTATGTGTGCCTTCAGGTTGTCTGTCGACTTATGGGAAAAGGACTTAACATGAGGGAAATCTCTCAGTGGAAGCAGTTTATTTTGGCTGGGAGTCAGAACCACTACGTTAAAATTGGATAATACTTAGTGATAATTAAAATAATATGACCTCACAGTTCATGAATAGTTATTTTATGATTAACAAAGCCCATTACTTTTCTAACATGGTGTTCATATGAATTTCTTTACCCAAATATGAATTATTTATAGCCAATAGGGATCCCATTGTGAATATTCTTGGCCCTGGCTATGGGACGATTGAAGGAGAGGACCTGTCCATGCTTCGTTTATTAGACAAAGTGAAAAAAGATGAGGCACCTGATAATGAAATGAAAATGAAGATTTCCCTACTCCTTCAGCAACTGGATATGCAGCTCCTCAACAGTTCTTTAAAACAGATTTCGCAGTAAGTATATTTCAGAACCGTGGTTGAAATATTCTATCTCATTTTGTTAGGTCTAGAAGATCTCAAAGAGGGTAACGTTACACTTGGTTTTTTAGGAAATATAAATTTCCTTTTACAACAGCTAATTTAATATTTTGCAAAATGAGAGGAAGTAATTTTGCATTTTCCTGGTGGCGCAGCAGGTTAATTTATTATTTATTTCTTGCACTTATTGACCGCCACTCTCAGCCCTAGGGGCGACTCGTGGCGGTGAACAACAACATATAAAGACAATGTACAAAAATCACAACAATACACACCAAAACTACTACTACACATATACTTATACTAAAAATCCGCTTCGCCTAATCCTGGGGTCATAGCCAAATTCGTAGTCATAGTCCATTCTAAAGTCGTTCCACAGATACCCTTAGTTGAAGGCCTGCTCGCAGACAGCCAAGTTTTCAGGCTCTGCGAAAGGCCATCAAAGTGGGCGCCTGTCTAACTTCAGTACAGGGAGAGTGTTCCACAACCGGGGGGGGCCACCACCGAGAAAGGCCTCTCTTGAGTGTCCCCCCCAAAAAAAAAAAAACCCCCTGAGAAGGCCCGCTCTCTCGTCCCCACCAGACGTGCCTGTGAGGCGGGCGGGACCGAGAGAAGGGCCTCCCCGGATGATCTCAAGGTCCTCGTGGGCTCGTAGGCCGAGATGCGGTCTGCAAGGTATTTTGGGCCGGAACCGTTTAGGGCTTTGTAGGATAACACCAGCACCTTAAATTGGGCCCGGTAGCAAATCGGCAGCCAGTGGAGCTGGGACAGCAAGGGCGTTGTGTGCTCCCTGCGTCCCGCTCCTGTTAGTAACATGGCTGCCGCGCGCTGGACTAGCTGGAGCTTCCAGGCCGTCTTCAAGGGCAGCCCCACGTAGAGAGCGTTGCAGTAGTCAAGGCGGGATGTGACCAGAGCGTGTACCACCGTGGCCAAGTCAGACTTCCCAAGGTACGGGTGCAGCTGGCGCACGAGCCTAAGCTGTGCAAATGCTCCCCTGGTCACCGCTGAAACCTGGGGATCCAGGCTCAACGATGAATCCAGGGTCACACCCAAGCTGCGAACCTGCGCCTTCAAGGGGAGTGCGACCCCTTCCAGCACAGGCTGTAACCCTATATCCCTTTCGGCCTTGCGACTGACCAGGAGTACCTCTGTCTTGTCTGGATTTAATTTCAGTTTGTTCGCCCCATCCAGACCATTACAGCGGCCAGGCACCGGTTCAGGACTTCGACGGCCTCCTTAGTAGCAGGTGGGAAGGAGTGACAGAGTTGGACGTCATCTGCGTACAGGTGACACCGCACCCCGAAACTCCGGATGATCTCACCCAGCGGCTTCATGTAGATGTTAAACAGCATGGGGGACAGGATGGAACCCTGAGGAACTCCACAGGTCAACGGCTGTGGTGTTGAACAGGAGTCCCCCAATAACACCTTCTGGGTACGACCCTCCAGAAATGACTGGAGCCACTGCAGAGCAGTGCCCCCAAGACCCGTTTCCGCAAGGCGCCCCAGAAGGATACCGTGGTCGACGGTATCGAAGACCGCTGAGAGGTCCAGGAGCACCAACAGGGACACACTCCCCCTGTCTAGCTCCCGGCGCAGATCATCCACTAAGGCGACCAAGACCGTCTCAGTACCATGTCCCGGTCTGAAACCAGACTGTGCCGGATCCAGATAATCCGTGTCTCTCAAGAATACCTGGAGTTGTGAGGCCACCACGCTTTCCATGACTTTGCCCAAGAAGGGAAGATTGGAAACAGGCCAAAAGTTGTCCAAATTTAGTGGGGTCCAGTGATGGTTTCTTCAACAGCGGCTTTATAACAGCCTGTTTTAGACTCGCTGGAATCTTGCCTTCCCGAAGGGAGGCATTAACCACCACCGACACCCACTCGGCCAATCCCCCTCTGGCCTCCTTCAGAAGCCAGGATGGGCAGGGGTCTAGGATGGACGTGGTGGGTCTCATTCCTCCAAGTATCTTGTCCACATCCTCGGGTTTCACAAACTGAAAAGAATCCAACAAAATCGGACAAGCAGGTGCTTGTGTCACATCCCCAGAGACTGCATTTAATGTGGCGTCCAGCCCAGAGCGGATCAAAGCGACTTTGTCTGCAAAGAACCGAGCAAATGCTTCACAGCGCGTTGCCGAGTTGTCGGGGCTCCCACCTGAGATAGGGGGAGTTAAAAGACCTCTGACAATCCGGAACAACTCCGCCGGACGGTTTTTTGCAGACGCAATAGTGGCCGCAAAGAAAGTTTTCTTTGCGGCTTTTATTGCCGCGGCATATGCCCTTAAAAAGGACATAAACCGTGTTCGATTTGGCTCGCTCGGATCCGAACGCCACACGCTCTCTAGTTCCCTCTTCTTTCGCTTCATCGCTGCCAGCTCCTCAGTAAACCAAGGAGCTGGTTTAGCTCGGTTACTTGAGAGGGGACGTTCCAGAGCAATCATGTCAATTGCCCTAGTCATCTCCCCATTCCAGAGAGCGACCAAGGCCTCGACATGATCACCTACCGAGGTGGCGGGAAACTCCCCAAGAGCCTTCAGGAATCCATTCGGATCCATTAGCCTCCTGGGGCGGACCATCTTAATAGGTCCTCCACCCTTGCGGAGGTTAGGGGGCGCAGTGAGTCTAAATCTGATCAGGAAGTGGTCGGTCCATGGCAACGGAGAGATAGACAACTCCTCCACACCGCCACCCTGCTCCCATCCCTGGCAGAAAACCAAGTCCAATGTGTGTCCAGCACAATGGGTGGGGCCAGATATTTGTTGGGACAGCCCCATGGTTGCCATGGCGGACATGAAGTCCTGAGCCGCTCCTGTGAGGGTCGCCTCGGCATGGATATTGAAGTCTCCCAGCACCAGAAGCCGTTGAGACTCCAACGCCAGGCTCGAGACTACCCCCTCTAGCTCAGGTGAAGCCGTTGGGACTCCACCACTCAGTTAAAACACTGAGTTGCTGAACTTGCTGACAAAAAGGATGGCGGTTCAAGTCGGGTGAGTGGGGTGAGCTGCTGCTCTCAGCCCCAGCTTCTGCCAACTTAGCAGTTCGAAAACATGCAAATGCCAGTAGATTAATAGGTACCGCATCTGTGGGAAGGTAACTCCTTACGGTCATGCTGGCCACATGACCTTGGAGGTGTCTATGGACAATGCCAGCTTGCAAATTGAGATGAGCACCACTCCCAGAGTCAGACACGACCAGACTTAATGTCCTTTATAGCTATGATGTAAAAATATGTAGACTTTCATCCTAAAGTATCATGGGAGTATCAAGCAGCCTGCAGTGTGGGAACTTTGCAGATGTAAATATACACACCGTGCAAAACATGAGAACACCTAGCAATGCAAAAGCAATGGCTGAATCCTGGCAATTCACCACTGTGGATAACAATCTCTGAATTGGGTTGTTGTAGGTTTTTCCGGGCAATATGGCCATGTTCTGGATGCAATTTTTCTCCTGATGTTTTGCCTGCATCTATGGCAAGCATCCTCAGAGGTAGTGAGGTCTGTTGGAAGTAGGAAAAATGGGTTTATATATCTGTGGAATGACCAGGGTGAGACAAAGGACTTTTGTCTGCTGGGGCTAGATGTGAATGTTTCAGCTGATCACCTTGATTAGCATTCAATGGCTTGGAAGTGTCTGGGGGGAATCTTTTGTTGAGAGTGATTTTATGTGCCTGTTTGTTTCCCCTCTGTTGTTTTGCTGTTGTAATCTCTGAATTGGTGCCAATGAGATCTTGTCTTTTCAAGACACATACCCAATAAGCCTGGCCAATTTACAGATACTCTCTCTCTAGGGGATGGTTAAAGAGAAGAAATAAATATTGTTTATTTCCAGTTAACTGTACAAATATATTTTTAGTTGCTAGACAGTAACTAATTTATTATATTTTCAGGGAAGTGAGGTTAACCCCAGCTGCTGTGAAAAATGAAATAGAGCTGCTTAAACGTTTCTCTGGAGCAAAAGAAGATGCTGTTCTTGAATCACTGGAATATACATCAGGTTCAAACCTTTTTTTTAATTTTTACCATATTTTGTTTTTAAAAATTCATGTTAGTGATAGATAGCAAAGCTAGAAGAAGTGTTCACAATCTTTTTGCTCCATTGGTACATTTGGAAATTTGAGAAACTCATAGCTACCACAGAAGCGTGTGACTGATTATAAAATGTCTGTCTCGTGAGCTTTCTAGACAGAAAAGACAAATAACCTGGCCATGAAATGGAGTGCAAGACGTAGGCTGAGCATGACATACCAAACCACATATTTGACCAGACAAACCACAACAAAATACACATTTCATAAAAGGACTACTGAGAAGGCAAGCTGAGGAAGCTCAGAAACACGTGAAGTCCATGAAGTTAGGTAGAGCTTGGGTTTAACCCTCAAGTGTAGCACAATATTTCACAAGATAGTATTCATTTCTTGCCCCATACTCACCTAAATGCACACAGATAGCACATTGCTTTCCTCCTACTCTTTCTTGCCATGTTGCTCACCATTTCTTTTCATTCCAGCCCCAGTGGCTCACTGTTGCCTTCATTTCCCAACTGTTGAAGTCATAGAATCATAGAATCCTTGAGTTGGAAGAGACCTCGTGGGCCATCCAGTCCAACCCATTCTGCCAAGAAGCAGGAAAATTGCATTCAAAGCACCCCCGACAGATGACAATCCAACCTCTGTTTAAAAGCCTCCAAAGAAGGAGCCTCCACCACACTCTGGGGCAGATAGTTCCACTGCTGAACAGCTCTCACAGTTAGGAAGTTCTTCCTAATGTTCAGGTGGAATCTCCTTTCCTGTAGTTTGAAGCCAATGTTCTGCATCCTAGTCTCCAGAGCAGCAGAAAACAAACTTGCTCCCTCCTCTCTATGACTTCCCCTCACATACTTATACATGGCACTCATCATGTCTCCTCTCAGCCTTCTCTTCTGCAGGCTAAACATGCTCAGCTCTTTAAGCCGCTTCTCATAGGGCTTATTCTCCAGACCCTTGATAATTTTAGTTGCCTTCCTCTGGATACTTTCCAGCTTGTCAACATCTCCCTTCAATTGTGGTGCCCAGAATTGGACACAGTGTGATTCCAGGTGTGGTCTGACCAAGGTGGAACAGAGGGTGGCATGACTTCCCTGGACCTAGGCACTATACTCCTATTTATGCAGGCCAAAACCCCATTGCCTTTTTTTTTTGCTGCCTCATGACATTGTTGGCTCATGTTTAACTTGTTGTCCATGAGGACGCCAAGATCTTTTTCATACATACTGCTGTCAAGCCAGGCATCCCCCACTCAGTGTTCCTTTTTACCCTCAAGCCCAATGCTACTGCTTATACTCCCAAACCCTCTGCAACACTCCCTGTCCTCTAGTTGCACTTGAACCTTTCTAAACATCTCCAAGGTTATACATTACCTACTAGACACAAGGAAAGGTATAACTTTTCTTTAGCAAAATATAGAGCTGGACCAACTTCTAATACTAAATATTGTTAAAATGGGGAAATTAAGATGATAGACCAAGGACAGGAAAGGCTACAGATGCCACATCAGGTCTTTCTGTGTGTCTGTTGGCACTGCATTGTGGAAACACAAGTGGAGTGTGTGTAGAGCCAACAGTCTCAAATGGTTTCCTGATTCCCGTTAGGAATCTCACAACAGCTATGCTTGCATGCCTCTTTGTGGCGGTTCTGAAGGTAATGAATAAGAATGTCAGGGTTATATTACTATTAAAATGGAAACAACTTTACTGTCACATCATGTGCTTCAGCCTTGATAAACATGGAGCAAATTATCATGCTCTTAATTGTTTACAGACTATGAATTTGCCAATGGATGCCGTGCCCCACCTTGGAGACAGGTCCATGGGGAAATTTGCTATTTGACCATCAAACCATTTGACACAGATCGTATGTTTGTCACTTGCAGCACAGCTGGAGTATTTTTAAATGGAGTGAGTAGAACTTTATTCAAGGGCAGAAAGTAAGAAATATACTAAGATGATGACTAAATTGAAAATCAGATCACTTCCTAATCTGATATTGACTTAGATTATAGATGAATCACCTTGTGAATGAGGCAAGATTACCTTCACTTTGCCGCTTAATGGACTGGATGGTTCTCATTGAGTGGCGCCATATTTGTGACACCGTGACAGCGGAGTAGTTTAGCTGATGAATAGCTTCATTGGGATCAAACTTTCCCCATCATAGTTAACCTGATGCTCGGTGAATCAGCATCCCCAACCAAGTTTAAAAAGTGCTTTCATTCAGAGCAGTTTTGCCTGTCTGATCAATGCTCCCTGTAGGAGAACTGGATGGGCGAATGACTTAGTATGTTGTCCCTTTCTCCTAGTAACTGGGAATAACAGTGGGAATTCTCCTTCTTTGATATCTCAGCATCTCAAACGGAAGGGGAACAGTGCAGGGGATATTCCTGCTGATATTCCCTAATTATTATTGATCAGTGACAACTGCATGGATCTCCCTGTCTTTTAGCTTTCGTTGGGTTGGGGAGGTTACTTGGAGAGGGGTGGGTCTTGGTTGCAAGCCTCTGCAGGCCAGAGAGGAGGTTTTTGTCAGCCAGAGATAGCCCGTTCCTGATCTAGATGCTTCTGTTTTTACTCAAGCCTTTAACTGGGTTGTAGTTCACAAAGAAACATGCTCCTTGCCTTTTTGCATAAATAATATTTCATTGTATTATCGAAGATTTTCATGGTCGGAATGAATGGGTTGTTGTAGTCGGTTGTTGTAAGTTTCTGTATGGCCATGTTCCAAAAGCATTCTCTCCTGATGTTTTGCCTACATCTATGACAGGCATCCTCAGAGGTTGTGAAGTCAGGCATACTCAGACCTCACAATCTCTGAAGATGCCTGCCATAAATGCAGGCAAAACATCAGGAGAGAATGCTTCCGGAACATGGCCATACAGCCCGAAAAACTTACAACAACCCAGTAATATTTCATTCCCAAGGATTAACAGAAGTGTACAATTTTGTAGCACCTAACCAGTGTAGTGGTAACCTACACACAAGTGGGGTTTATATTTCTGTGGACTGTCCACAGTATGTTCCTTCTCTTTGAAAAACACTTTGAAAAACAAGCCCTGGAAACAGCAACAAAGAAGCCCGAAAATGGTTCAAATATGTGGACGACACCTTCGCCATTTGGAGCCATGGAAAAGAAGAACTAACTCAACAACTTCCTGGATCATCTCAACAGCATCCACCCAAACATCCAATTCACCATGGAAAAAGAAAAATGAAGGAAACCTGCTGTTTCTAGTCATCCACAAACCCAATCAACAATTGGACTACACAGTTTACAGAAAACCTATACACACTGATAGATACCTACATAAAAACTCTAACCATTACCCAAGTCAAAATATTAAAGTCCTGGCAGATCATGCAAAAAAAATAAAAATCTGCGAACCACACCTTCTCCACCTAACTGGGCTCTACAGGCCAATGGAGACTCCACCACAGACATCAGAAGATCTGCAAGACCGAGAACAAGCCAAGAGATTAAAGACAAAGATCTCTTACCATACATCAAGGGAAACACTGACTGCATAGCGAAGCTGATGAAGAAACACAACCTGCAAACTATCTATAGACTCACTAAGAAAATTCAGCAAATGCTATGTTCAGCAAAGGACAAGAGGGATTCTCTCACATCTGCAGGAGTCTATTGTATTCCATGCAGCTATGGACAAGTCTATCTAGGGATCACCGAACGCAGCATTGCTCAGACATGAATCAAGGAACATGAAAGGCACTGCAGACTACTTCAACCAGAGAAGTCAGCCATAGCAGAGCACCTGATGAACCCACCTGGACACAGCATATTATTTGAGAACACAGAATCCTGGACCATTCTAACAACTACCATGTCAGGCTACATAGAGAAGCCATTGAAATCCACAAGCACATGGACAATTTGAACGGAAAGGAGGAAACCATGAAAATGAACAAAGTCTGGCTACTAATATTAAAAACTCTAAAATCAGAACAGTAAATAAAGAACAACATTCAGAAAACAGGGGAATTCCAGAAAAGAAACAAATCAGGACCAGTGAACACCTCCTAACAAAGGATTTCCCCCCAGGCAGGAAGCAGCCAGGCCTTGAAGCTACAAGGCCATTCAATGGTAATCAACCTTGCCAACTACAGCACTCACACTTGCGTCAAACAGACAAGAGTCCTTTCTCCCACACTGGACAGTCCACAGATGTATAAACCTCAGTTGCCTAGTTTCCAATATACCTCACAACCTTTGAGGATGCCTACCATATATGTGGGCAAAACATCAGGAGAAAATGCTTCTAGAACTTGGCCATATAGCCCAGAAAACTTACAGCAATCCAGTGATTCCAGCCATGAAAGCCTTGGCAAGAAGTTGAAAAGATTATTCACAATGAAAGGGATATTGGATGGGCACTGTCCTCCATGTTAAACCTCAAGAGAAATTTCAGAGTAGGATGGATTGAATCAAACTATATAATTTTGAAATGTCATTTGCAGTCCTGTAGACACTACATTAGACGTCCCATTGAACTCTGTGGGGTTTACATCTGAGTAGTCATAATATTGCACTGTACATCTGCGTTCCTAACACATGAATGAAACTTTTGATATCTGAGATTGGGAAATAACTTCATGTTTGTTTTTCTTACAGGGACGGGAAAAAGAGAGGGATGAAATAAATTATGAGAGACAGAGTGACATATATAAAGACCTTGTCTCATTTTTAAGAGAAAGATCAGCACTGTTTGTAGAGAATATGGCTAAACAGGTATGCATTTCTATGTCGGATTTCTATTACCTGTTTTAGGCTAACCCAGGCAGGGGCAAATTTTGGCCCTCCAGGTGTTTTGGACTTCAACTCCCACAATTCCTAACAGCCTACTGGCTGTTAGAAATTGCAGGAGTTGAAGTCCAAAACACCTGGAGGGCCAAAGTTTGCCCCTGCCTGGGCTAACCTGTTGGTGCACTATGCTAATGTAGGTGGTGTGGAGATGCAGTGGTTGCAGGACTGAAAAGACCTCAGACCTGTGGTGGGAGAAGGCAAGGAAGTTTGCCAAAGTCTGAAGCCCAGTCCTGCAAATCCTGGCATTTTGCTGGGTTCTCAAAAGCCACAGTGTTCTGGAAAGGATGGCTTAGAAAACCAACAGTGCCATGGGACTAGCAATTTTTCAACCAATCATTCCCAGAACATTCTGAATTTGGAGGTCTACCCAGAAGCCAAAAATGGACTTGCTTGGAAGCTGACAGCTTTTTGTCCTGATGGTGGTTGTAATGATTTGCTTCTCTGCTTTCACAAACCTTGCACCTTATGCATTTTTATACAGATGTGGCTGTGTTTAAAGGTGATTGTGTTTTATTCTGTTTGTCACTGAGATATGTGGTAAGATCCCTGTAACTATGGAACTTATATTTGCAATTCCTGAAGAGCCATGGTCTCTGTAGGCTTTTTCTCAGTTTTCCAGTGATTTTATGGTATTTCTATGGAGCTGCAGTGACGCAATGGGTTATTTATTTATTTATTTATTTCAAAGTTTTATATACCGAGCTTCTCACCTCATAAGAGGGACTCAGCCCGGTTTCCAACCATAAAAACACATACAATCAGTAAAATATCATATCAACCCTTGTGTCGACTGAACTGCTGACCTGAAGGTCAGTGGTTTGAATTTGCGAGATGGGATGAGCTCCCATCTGTCAAGTCAAGTTTCCTATGCGGGGACATGAGAGAAGCCTCCCACAAGATGATAAAACATTGGGTGTCTCCCTGGCAACATCCCTGCAGATGTCCCTGCAGATGGCAACGTCCCTGCAGATGGCCAATTCTCTCACACCAGAAGCAACTTGCTGTTTCCTAAATTGCTTTTGACATGAAAAAAATTGTATTCTTTCCTGCAAGTAACTATAGAGTTGTGTTGGAGGACCTAGCAAATTCCTTGAGAGCCATCCTCTCTAGGAATCGCTAGATTCTCCAATGCAACTTTATGTTATGCTGGGACCAGAAGTCAGGTAGTGTTATGGTGTGTTTGGCCATATCTGTGGTTTTGTGTAAATGTGGTCCGACTGGGAAACTATCTCCTGAAGATTTGGGGTCTTACTTTACTCCATTAAAACTTAACAGTTCAATCCTGGATGAGTGAATTAGAAACAGATTTCTAATTATTTGAAAGGAGCATACCAATATATGTTTTTTTTCTGAAAGAATTAAAATCCCATGTACTGTGGCATTAAATATTATAGCCTGAATCTTGTTGGGAGTCTTAAAAAGAGTAGGCTCATTTAATCATTTGTTCAGTGGTGAGACAGCACACACACAAATCTGATTCATAAAATAGATTTACTCTGGGTTGCTGTGAGTTTTCCAGACTGTTTGACCATGTTCCAGAAGCATTATCTCATGACGTTTAGCCCACATCTATGGCAGGCATTCTCCAAGAGACCTCACAATCTCTGAGGATGCCTGTCATAGATGTGGACAAAACGTCAGGAGAGAATGCTTCTGGAGCATCGCCATACAGCACAGAAAATTCACAGCAACCCAGTGATTCCAGTCATAAAAGTCTTCAACAACACATGGGATTTACTCTAATTGAATGTACCAGTGGATATCCCTCCCAGTGATTTATTTTTCAGTGCCCAAATTTCTGGTATTGTAGTAGATTAAAACTTCAGAAGAGGCTTTAGAAGAACAGTTTAGGCATCCAGAGAAAATTGACAAGGAAATTACCAAAGGAATGCGAACATAAATACAAGAGTTTGAGGTGTAAATTATTTTAGCACCTCACTCCTTGCAATGCTAGAAATTTGAGGAGTGAAACAGAATTCACGAGAGAGTGGACTGTGGGATCAATGTTCTCGTCCTTTAGCTATATATATCATTACCATCTTGAAGAATACAGGTTAATGCAGAGATTTTGTTTCTCAGACTGGTTGTTACTTAAGTGTCTACAATCATTTGGTTTCCAGATGAAGAAGGTGAGAGTAAGAAAAATGTAATACCATAATAACATTAATATTATATGGTGTTAGCCAAATGTGATACAAAGGTTTATTGCCAAAGAAATAGCTGGAATTTTGTGAGGTGGAAAATGTTTGGCAGTCTTGGGGTTTGGCTTGCTCTTGAATACTGAATGTGGCCGTATTAATGTCACCATATGGAAACTGAATGTGACCATTGTTTACTTATGGATAGTTGCAGGCCTACATCCAATGTCATGCTAGTGTCTGTCTGCCAGCGTGATTAAATCTATGTCACCATCACACTCCCATGCAGCCCTCTGTGCCACCAAAAAACAGCTCTGGAAAGTCTACCATCTTTTCAGAAGACATTTTAGGGTGTTGGTGAGAGTGAGGAATTCATTGCCTCCTGAATTCACTAACAAGAGCAGTTCCTCCAGCGGAAGAAGCCTCTGAGATTCTGGCCGTATATCATTTTTAATAGACATCCTTTTCCTAGCTCATTTGTACATTTGTATATTGTGGCCTATATCCAGCTTTTAGTCTCAAGGAATAGCCCAAATTGAAATAGTACTTCCCAAGTTCCCATTGATTCAGTGGGTCGGCTTTAGTTGAGACTGAAATTAGGATTTGAGCCTATGTGTTTTGCCAATATATGGGACTGGCTTAGGGCCTTCTCTCCAGTCCAGAAAGCATTCATTGGGAGCTTTCCAAGGAAGCAAAGCAAGTTTGGGATTGCTGCAGTTGGCAAAACCCATTTGCTCATCTTTTAACCTCCCGCAGATGGTTTTCCTTTAAGCAGTGGTATAATTGTTTAAAGCAGGAAAATATCATATTTTAATGAAAAGGGTCAACTGTCTTTGACAATGCTTTCAATAATCAAAACCATTCCTCCTTTCTTTATCCCTTCTGATTTGAATAAAAGGAATATTCTTCATTTTACAAGAATTGTCTTTAAACGTCAGGCACAAGTGGGGTGTTTCCAGCTCGCACAGCCATACGCTGCCAGTAAGCTGCAGTAGCTCTAAAATTTAAGTGTTATTGGCTGGTCAGAATAAGAAATACATTTTCCTCCTTAGAATAAATTTAAACAGTAGCTATTGATTAAAGTTATAGCATAGTTCTTATAACAAGTTTTTACTTTCAAGTTTTCAGAGTTTGCAGTGTTGGAGAAACATTCATTATAAGGAACCTAAAATTTAGCTGTGCTCTGAAAATGGGGGAGCAAAGTCATTCACTCAAATGTGGAGGGCTTTGGCCTGCCAGTTTCTCCATAGTTCTTTCCATGAAAGGTGTTGTCTTGTTTTGTAATATCATTCAGTTGTTTGAAGTAACACCGTGAAATAAGAGACCAGACAACAAAATATGGAACCAAGGGCCATATATTGATCTATTTAAACTGCAACTGAGAGCAGTAAAAACTAACCTGGAGGGAGCAACAAATAAATAATTCGTGACAGAGGCCAGGTATCAGAATGACTACTTCCTTGTCCACCTCTGGGTGAACACCTGACCCCAGGAGCACTTAATATAGTGTTTCTCAACCTGGAGGTCGGGACACCTGGGGGGGGGGGTCATGAGGTGGTGTCAGAGGGGTCGCCAAAGACCATCAGAAAACACAGTATTTTCTGTTGGTCATGGGGGTTCTGTGTGGGAAGTTTGGCCCAATTCTATCATTGGTGGGGTTCAGAATGCTCTTTGATTATAGGTGAACTATAAATCCCAGCAACTACAATGTCAAGGTCTATTTTCCCCAGACTCCACCAGTGTTCACATTTGGTCATATTGAGTATCTGTGCCAAGTTTGGTTCAGATCCATCACGGTTTGAGTCCATGGTGCTCTCTAGATATAGGTGAACTACAACTCCAAAACTCAAGGTCCACCAAACCCTTCCAGTATTTTCTGTTGGTCATGGGAGTTCTGTGTGCCAAGTTTGGTTCACTTCCATCATTGGTGGAGTTCAGAATGCTCTTTGATTGTAGGTGGACTAATTAAGTGGCTGAAGAGGAAAAGGAGAGGGCCTGAGGCTGTTAGAAATGGTGGGAGTTGAAATCCAAAACACGCAGAGGGCCCAAGTTCGCCCGTGACTGCATTAAAGTGTTTGTGGAACAACATTTGTGTTCAAATTGGTATAAAATCGGTGTATGTTTGTACCATCTTTGCGATATAATGGACCTTTTACAGTCATGTGTCTTGTTTTCATGAAATCCAAACCACTGGTGAGAAAACAAAGTATCTGATGCTTCTGTTGAGTCTGTTTTAGTCTCCTGTTAAACTTCTTTTAAAAGAAGAAGAATAAGTTTTACAACGGGAAAGAGCTGGGGTGGTGTTTTTTTTTGTTGTAACCGAAGCCTAACATATTTAGTCACTTGAAAATTATATGTGGTGTAGACCAGGACACCGATGGGCAGTGCAGCATGTGAGGTCTGGAACAACTTGGTTTTATAACATATGGCAAGGAAACCGTGTCCAAACAATTTGCACATTTTATGCTCTTTAAGAGGAACAGGAAGAGATCTTCTGGTGTCTTAAAAACCCTCATCTTCTGAGCTGTATATTGCATATGTTCTCCATCTGAAAATTTCCATGCCCTGGATAATATCTGTTAACTTCCTGAGTGTTTGAAGGACTGAAATTTTAAAACACTTCAACTGTTTGCCCAATTACACATTCATCAGACCAATCTGCTCTCATCCAAGAATGATTCTGTATGATTTGCCTAAGTAAACATATTGGCAAGTAGAAATTGCCTTCTCTGCATCAAGTCACAGATAGGCAAGAGTGGCTGTTAATACAGGGAGGCAGATGTGTAC